GACTACCTTCTGTGCCTCCTTGGCAAAACCAGAGCTACCTTTTCACACATGCCTTGTTGGGGCACCTGTAAATAACTCTGATGCAGTGAAACTTGTTTCTAATGTTACACGATTACCTGATGTAGCAACAAAGGCTTGTAATGCTTCTGCGCAGAGCTGCATCGCAAATGTAAACGACTGGCTTGGTAAGCTACCAGTAGGCATTGCACCACAAGAGCTAGATATTTTGGGTACCTTAACTGCTGCTGCTTGCTTTTATTTTGATTATACGGGTGCGACACTGCTGGTTAATAAGTACAGTAAGGGAGATGATGCTTCTGCTACCACAGAAACTCTTTCACAAGACTTGTCCCCAGATATGCCCTCTTACCAGAATGCATCTGTTTGGTGTTTATATACACACAAGCGACCCTCACCTAGTGTAACAGTTGCTCGTCAACTCCCGAAAGGATACTTTTTGATTTGTGGCAATCAGGCATGGCCAGGTATTCTGGTGAAGCCCACGGGGGGATCCTGTACCTTTGGTAAATTAGGCTTGCTTACCCCCACAGAAAAGCTTTTGTTGAATCATTCCCATCTCTACAGTCATGTTTTGACCAAACAGTCACTGGCCCTTGACTCTAAATGTCGGGACACGTTAACTTTGTGGGGTCAGGCATCTACTGTGTCTGCCTCTCTGTTTTTGCCACAAGTTGCCTCAGCAAAAGCGTTAAAGTAAATCAATGCCTTGGCGTGCTGGGGGACCAAACAAGCAAATTTGACTTCGGATACTTTGTATAAGCTCGCCACGGATGTAGATAGTGCACGGCATGCTACACTGCAGAATCGTGCTGCTACTGATTTTTTGCTATTAGCACATGGACATGGTTGCCAGGAATTTGAAGGCATGTGTTGTTTAAATCTCTCAGATCACTCTGAATCCATCTGCAGACAAATTGCCATGCTTCAGGAACAAACAAAGAAGATCACATGGGAAACTGGGTTTTTCGGCCTGGAAGGTTGGTTGTCTAATTGGGGCATTTCGGGTTGGTTACTGTCCTTACTCAAGACGGGGTCTTAGTTTTGATAATAGTCGTAGTTGTGCTAGTAATGTTACCATGTATTGTGTCATGTTTGCAAAGGACCCTGCAAAAGACGACACAGGGAATATTTCTTGCACAATTACAGAAAGGGGGAATTGATGGGGTTAATAGCGGGTCTATCAGCTCCCAGGATGGAGATATCAACTGGGAAAAGTTTTGAGTGTATCCTTGATGATAAGGAAGTCAGTACGCAGCCCTAATGGAGAAAACAAAGGCAGGCTGTAAAGTTGGTAGGCCCAGGATGTGGGAACTGCAATAAGGCCTTGAGCTTTACAAATGTATCACCCATAGATCCTAACCAATGAAAACGCTGTTGCTTGCTTACCTAAAATAAGGATACTGCTTGCTGCTAGCAAGGGGTATAAAAAAGCAGATGAGAAAATAAAAGGAAGACATCTTTCCTGCACATAACTGACTCCTTGTATCTTTATTGTCCGTCCCAAATCTACACTGACACCCCATCTTCAACTGGCAAGGTCATCCTGACAGGCTCTGCGATTGACCCATTTGGTGAAACTCTCACGCAGAGGTGTTGGAACTTTACTTGAATTGATTTTTACCTTTCGAGTTTAAAAGGTCTGCAAAAAACATGGTAATTCATGTCCTAGCAACAGAAATTCTTTTGAGAGGGAGTATGGCACCCAAAGAATCACAGAATGGTTTGTCTTGGAAGGGACATAGAAGCTCATGTGGTCCAAGTCCCTGGACATGGAGAGTGACATCTTCACTAATTGAGGCTGCTCAAAGTTCCTGACCTTGGACAAATCCAGGGATGGGACATCCTCTTCTCTTTCAGTTGTTGCCAGTCCCATTGGTAAGTATTTCTTCATTTTATCCAATATAAAGCTCCCCTATTTCAGTTCAAAGCCATTGCTCCACGTTCTGCCACTACAGCCCTTGGTAAAACATATCCCTGTGACTATCTTAGACCATGTTTTCATCTGCAGACACCTTGGAGAGTGCTCAGAGATGTCCCAGGAAGGGGTTTGGAGGTCTCAAACATATAACCACTCTACAGGGGCAAAGGAGTGGTGGGTTCAGTGATGTGCAGACAGAGGACAGCAGAGAACCCTGGGAGTGCTTGAAGAGTCGCCTCAGAGAGGGTGGATGCTTTTGTTGTAGCAGAAAACAGCACGAGAAAGAAAGAATTAATGGCAAGTGCAGCTGGGGAGGTCCAGGCTGGCATGAGGAGAAAAGAATTTCCATCCAAGGGCAGTTCTGTGATGCAACACATCACCCAGAAGGAGTCTGGATGAGCCCAAGGCTTTGTGTGTGTAGGAAGAGCCAGGGAGGGCGCAGAGATGTCAGTGCAGGAAAGTGCCAGCCAGGTGGGGCAGCCGGGGGGATGACGACAGTCTTCAGGGAAAGGGGCAGGGCATGGATACCGTAGGACAGCCTGGGCTGGAGAGGAGACAGGGATGGGGAGAAGCTGAAAGGCCCTGACACAGCCACCTTCTGCAGGCCTTTGGCCATGGCTGCTGTCTGTGCCCCTGATGCCAGGAGGAGGGGAGTGGCCCTTGCAGCCCTGGGGCCTCATGGCCTCCTTGTCCCTGCTCAGCAGCCTGGCAGGTGCCACCCCATGGTCCTGCCCTTGGCATTGCACATCCCACATCCCAGTGCCCCAGGAAGAGCCCTGAGAAATGAGGCAGGGACAGTATCTGCCTTCCCAGGGCCTGGGGGTCAGGGTTTGGCCCTCTGGATTAAGGAAACAAGTCAAGGTTTATTCAGCATCAGAGTCACCTTTCCCTTGCTTGTCCATCCTTGTCATTCCTGTCTGCAGATTTCTGCTCTAACTGGGACATGGGGACATGTTCTCAGTTGTGTCCCTCAGTGAGACTCATTAGCACTACAAGAAACTTTAGAGTTTCAATCTCACTTTGACTTCTTCAGAAGTTGTTTGAACTTACTCTCAGGGACTGAATTTCATGTAAACAACCTCAAACCCCCCTGAGGGTCACTAAATGCCTGGGGCTGTTGCTGTGCTGCTGAGCTGGGCCGGGCTCCTGGCACACAGGGAGCTCCTGGCAAGCAAGAAGAGCTTCAAAGAGACAGCTCTGCTGGTGAGCAGCTCCTCTGCACAGCCCAGCAGGGCTGAGGGCACTGCCAGGGCAGCTCAGGGACACCAGCAGGGTACACACAGAGCTTCAAGGGGCTCAGCACTGGCAGGAGGGCTGAGAGCTCCCTGCAGGAGGAATCTTGACAGGGCTGCACATGGTGAGTCTGTGGCCGCAGGGCAGTGCAGGGGCAGCTCCTGGAGGCATCTCCTAAAGCTGGCCCAGCCCCAGCTGATGGGATGTGTGAGCAGGGGCTGTTTTGAGGCCCTTTGGAAGAGCTGTGAAGCCGGGGGTGCAGCCAGGGGTGCCCAGGGCTGTGGGGCAGAGCAGGGTCCTGCAGCCCAGGGTGCTGTGCTGGGCAGGGACTCTGCTGCCTGCCAGGGGCAGCTCTCAGCCAGCCTGGGGAAGCTGCTGCCAGGGCTGGGGCAGAAGGGCTGTGGACAAGGAGCAAACCTGGCAGCTGAGAGAGGATCTTTTCCATGTCTCACTGTTGCAGGGTCCGACCCGCTCACAGCTCCAGATCACCATAAAATATTGAATGGAGAATTTTTTGCAAGTCTAAGAAAAGACAGGGGCTACAGGAAAGGAATTAGTCCTGAGGTGTGTTTCCTGCTTAGGCATTTTAGCAGAGACATTGTTCTCTCAGGTCAGGAGGCTGCACTGAAATTCAAACTCTTTTACTCTCAGAGATGAATATTTCAGGCAGGATCAGAAATGAGCACAGGATCCTGGGCAGTGCTGAGCCTTCCCTTGGGAGTGGGCACTCTCCTGTCCCAGCCCTTGGCTTCTCTGCAGGAGGGCTCCTGTCCTGCTCTGTCCAGCACAGCTGCACCTCTGGGCTGGCACAGGGGACCCTTCACAGAACTGCCCTTTCAAGGAGTGCTGCCCTGCTCTCAGCACAGATCTTAGTTGGGTTTTAAAGATGAATCTGTGTGTGAAGTCCTCTTCAAGGCAGCCCAAGGCAAAGTGCAGGGCAGATGGGAAACAGTCTGATAGGCACTACAGCTCTCTTGGCTCTGCAATAAGCAACAGAGAGCTCAGCCCTTCTGTCTGTCCTGGCTCAACACTCGTCAGATTTGTCATCAGAAAAATTTGCCGTAATAAATAAACAGGTGTTATGATTATAACCAAAATACCCAGTCAAAAATATTTTAAGGATACACTCTGCCTCTCTCCTGCAGCCCAAATTGCTCCAAGACAACAGTACAGGAATTGAACTTTTCCATCAAAGCTGGGTTCCATGTGACATCCCCTGTGATCATGAGAGCTGTCCCAAAGCAGCTCCGTGTCTGCACTGCAGCAGAGCAAAGCTGAGTCCTTGGCAGCACATGGCAAGAGCTCCTGCTCCTCACAGGACCCTCAGAGAGCACAAATCAGAGAAAAGAAATGCCTTGACTTGGAGGGGAATTCCCTGGAAAATGCACTGGCTTTGCTGAGAGGGGGCTGTCTTAATTGTTCCCTGTGCTTTCCTTTTCTGTACAGACCTGTCCTAAGGAACATCAAATGTCCAACAACAGCTCCCTCACCCAGTTCCTCCTCCTGGCATTCACAGACAGGCGGGAGCTGCAGCTCCTGCACTTCTGGCTCTTCCTGGCCATCTCCCTGGCTGCCCTCCTGGCCAATGGCCTCATCCTCAGCGCCGTAGCCTGCGACCACCACCTGCACACCCCCATGGGCTTCTTCCTGCTCAACCTCTCCCTCACAGACCTGGGCTGCATCTGCACCACTGTCCCCAAAGCCATGCACAATTCCCTCCAGAACACCACAACCATCTCCTACATGGGATGTGCTGCACAGGCCTTTTTCTTTCTGTTCTTCATCTCAGCAGAGTATTTCCTCCTCACCATCATGTGCTACGACCGCTACGTTGCCATCTGCAAACCCCTGCACTACGGGACCCTCCTGGGCAGCAGAGCTTGTGCCCACATGGCAGCAGCTGCCTGGGCCACTGGCTTTCTCAGTGCTCTGCTGCACACAGCCAATACATTTTCCCTGCCCCTGTGCCAGGGCAATGCCCTGGGCCAGTTCTTCTGTGAAATCCCACACATCCTCAAGCTCTCCTGCTCACACTCAGGCTACCTCAGGGAAATTGGCCTTCTTGGGGTTGGTGCCTGTTTAGGGTTTGTTTGTTTTGTTTTCATTGTTTTCTCCTATGTGCAGATCTTCAGGGCTATGCTGAGGATCCCCTCTCAGCAGGGACGGCACAAAGCCTTTTCCACCTGCCTCCCTCACCTGGCCGTGGTCTCTATTGTTATCAGCACCTCATTCTTTGCCTACCTGAAGCCCCCGTCCATCTTCTCCCCGTCCCTGGATCTGGTACTATCAGTTCTGTACTCGGTGGTTCCTCCAGCACTGAACCCCTTCATCTACAGCCTGAGGAACCAGGAGCTCAAGGATGCCCTGAGAAAAATGATGACTAGATGCTTTTCAGGAGAAACAAGGTGCCGAGTTTCTGCTATGTAGCATTCAGAACCGAACTCACTAATGGCCCAGCTTTCCTGCTCAGGTTTTCCATGGAGTTCAGCAGGTCCTTCTTGAAAGAATTTTCTTTGCAATGATATACTCTTATGCATCTGCCTTCTAATTTAGCGTCTACCCATTGAATTTGACCCCAAGATATATAAAGGATGAATTGTGCTCAGAGTATTTAAACAAAATAAATGAATCTGCCGTGCCTTCTTTGTCCAAGATCCTGCTTCTTAGATGTTCCTAAAGGACAGCACAGTGCAGGACAGGGTGTATTTGCAAAGTGAAAGGGGACAATAATCCCAACCCAGCAGCACTGCCAGGAAGCAGCAGTGCTTGGTCTTTCCAGAGCTGTTCTCTTGCCACTTCCACACTGTCCTCCTGAGCCCCTTTCTCGCTGTAAGGCCTGAGTGCTCTCTGAGCACAGTCCTGGGGGCTGGAAGCCCTTGGATCACAGACAGGGACAGGCCCTGGGAACTTGTGAAGCAGAGCTGGGCTCCCTTCCAGCATCTCCAGGATGCTGAGGGATATTCTGAGGCCACTGCATGGACTGGGTCACTTCTTCTGTGACCTTGCTCCAGGGCTGGAACTCTCCTGCAGTGACACCATGACACTCCTGCTCTCTGCTTTCCAGGTTTCATTTTTAGATCCTGTCTTCCCCTCCTGTTCCCAGGGACATCCTGGGAGTGCTTCAGAGCTGCCATCCTGGGGCAGCTCCTGCCCAGCATGGGCAGGCACAAGGTCTCTCCACCTGCTCCTCTCCCCTCCCCAGTGCCACTGTTTTCTGCAGCCTCCTCCTCCTTGCCCAGCACAGCCCTCCTGGCACAGTTGGACACAGCCCTTGTTCTACCCCCTCCTCAGGCACCTGCCCAACCCCCTCAGCTCCAGCCTGATGGCCAGAAACCTTCAGGGCAGGGAGGCACCGGGGAAAATGCTGAGGAAACCTTTCAGTTGCACTCAAATCCAATTGGAGGGGTTGGCCTCAAGGAAGAAATCCCTTCTCATTCTCCAGAACCACCAGGACAACCTGTGTTGTGTCCTGGGCACTTCTCTGGCAGTGTGTGATACTGCAAAGATTTTGGTGTCAGGGCTATTGAGAAGGCTGGGCAGTGTCACTGGGAGACCTCTCCCAAACCCTTGGAAAGGTCAGAGCCATCCCAGAGCTTCCTGGGGCTTTGGCAAAGGCAGCCATGGAAGCAGTCTGCAAACAGGACAGCAAGGTGGGTTGGCAGAGTTCCACACTGCTCAGGCCCAGCAGGGAAGGGAATATGGAAAATCCTCCTGCAGCCATTCCCAGGTATAGGAAGGACAAGGCTGGGATTGCAGAATCTCTTTGAGAGGGAAAAGAAGGGGATGTTTTGTGCCCAGACTTTATCAAGGCCCTGTGTTCTGTGGTCTCCTTATGGTCAGATTGGTGAGAGTAGGACTGAAAAAGTGGAAGATGTGGTGGGTGGGAAGTTGGCTGAACGAAGAGTGTCTAATAAAATCCTTGGTACAAAGTCCTCTTGGCAGCAACTTCCTGGTGAAATCCCTCAGTGATTAGTCCTTGAACTCCACTATAGAACATCTTTATTATCTCTCTGTACAATGGGACAAAATGCATTTTCAAGTCCTTTTGTGAATGATGCCAAATTTCAGGGAGTCCTCGAGTAACCTGTCCAGGTTTAAAGACAAATATTGGGGCGGGAACTCCAATAAAATGAACTCACTCCCCTTTTATTCCCCACTAGTACAATGAGACAAAATGCAAAGAGGTATAAGTGAAAACAATAAGAGTTTACTGACAGGAAATATAACAGCAAAACCAGTAATAAAAACAGAACCATTCAAAGCAAGAGAAGAGAGAGAAATTGCCTCCTCTCTCCCCCCTGCCCCAACTCCCTTTTGTTGGGAGATGAAACAGGGATCAACACGTGCCTCCCTTCTCCTTTTTCCCCCTGAATGAACAAAGAACAAAGAACAAAACCACAGGAAAGAAGGGGCAAAGCAAAATCTGGGAAACCCTCTGGTCTGAGATCAGTTGTGCTGCCCAAGAACACGCTGACTCCAGAGGTGTCCAAATGGGGCAGAGCCGGCGACTCCGGTCCCTGCAACGGCGGGAGGGAGGCAGCGGCTCTGCTTGATTCCATGGAGTTCTGGGGAGGCACAGTGGCCCCTTGGTTCCAGGAGGGTCTGAGGTGTCTCAGGGTTCCTTTTGTTCTAAAGAGATCCCACATGTTACAATGGTCTCTTGGTTCCATGGGATTCCACAGTGTCCCTGCATTCCTTTGGTTCCATGAGGCCCTGCAGTGTCACAGTGCCACTTGATTCCGTGATGTTACAAAGAATCAGAATGGCCCCTTGATTTAAGGCCAACTGCACATGTTGGCACCCAGAAAAGAGAGTTGTCATTCCCCTGGACTCAGCCCTGGGGTCACCACATCTGGACTGGTCTGTCTGTCTAGGAGGTTCCCCATTCTGGAGGAATGAGGAAGAACTGGAGAGGGTCTACAGGACATCTGACAGGATGGAGCTTTTGTCCATATTGCAAATAGAATGAAATCTCCTCAAAGAGTAGCACTGAGGTTTAGACTGAAGGTGAAGAAAAAGAAATATCACTCAAAGGGGACCCTTGTGCTGCAAGAGGTCCCCCAGACGGAGTCAGGATCAGTCCATGGCTTTGTGTTCCAGGGAACAGCCAGAGCTGGTGCCGAGACATCAGGGAGGGTCTAGAAATGCTGCTGGGAGGGGGGTGGGAAAGCAGGAGGGGTGTGTGCAGCCTGCAAGGCCAGAGCAGCAGCAGGGCCAGGGCAGGACAGCCTGCAGGAGAGATGGCCAAGGGCTCTGGCAGGGCTGCAAGGCCCAAAGGCACCCAGGCCTTTGTCCCCTTGCCTCTGCCAGCTGCCTCTGCCACTCAGGCCACCACAAGCAACTTGCCTGGCAGGTTCTGCCCTTGGTTTCTGCCTCACCCCTCCCTCAGGAGCCTGGCAGAAGTTGTCCAGGTTTGGGCCTTTGTTGTTCCTCCCCCTCCCATCCCAGTGCCCCCCAAACAGCCCTGAGCCAGCTGGGAGGGACAGGATCTGCTGGGCCAGGGCCTGGGGCTCAGGAATTGGCCTTTGTGCTCCACAAAACCAAGGCAGGCTTTGCTCAGCATTGCAGGGGCCTGCCCAGAGCCTTTGTCTGCCTGCACTCCTGGCCTCCAAGGAGCTGCTCCAAGGAGTCCCTGGGGAGGCTTTGTCAGTGCCTGCCCTCAGTGGGGCCCAGCAATGCTTCAAGGCACTTGCAGTTTGCCTTCTGACTTCTTCAGCAGCTGCTTCAATCTTCTCTCAGTACCTCAGGATCATGGGCTGGGCTGCAAACACACCATGGGGCTCATTAAAATGCAGAAACCCCTCAGGATCTCTTTGTCTTCCTTTAATTGTCTTCAAGGCAATTTCAAAACAAGTCTTCAAAGTTTGTTTTTGTTTTAATTCAATGATGGCTATTTTGTAGTTCAGAGAAGAGGTGATAGAGGTGTTCTCCAAGTGATCTTGATGCTGAGTGTCTCCTCAGGAGATCCACACCGACCCTGGATGATCAATCTTGCTCCTCACCCCCCAACCTCACCAGTTCTGACATGGCCTATCTTGGACTGACAGCTGATGCAGCTCCAAACACACTGTGGGATCAATTAAAACACTGAAAAACAAATTATTTATTTTTATTTAATTGTCTTCAAGTCTTCAAGACTTCTACAGCTAATTGGAGTTGTTTTGTAGTTTAGCTAAGGAAGAAGATTTTAAAGTGGAAGTCATGAAAAATATATATCTTTTGATGAAAGGGAACGATTTACACAGAACCTTGGGATGCAAGAGGGTCAGGGCACAAAGGATTTGGATCCAAAGACAAGGGGGTAAAAGACGTTAGTAGCACTTAATCATTGACCAATTGAACAGTTATCAGGTGATTCAATAGCATGTGCTATAATTTTAACAGTGACTGAATTAGAGATTCAAAACAACAACATTCCCACCACAGTCAATTCACACCCACACCCAGGCAGAGATGTGTGCACACATCAAGAGCTGGCTGTAGAAAGGTCCCCCTCCCAAATTCTCTTTGTTGTCAGGGAAACACTCCCCCAAATCTATTTGTGTTTCCCACCAGACAAGGGTCACAGCTGGAGGAGTGTTTGTTGAGGGGGATCAGAATTGTCCTGGGCATCAGCGAGGGTCTTTGGAGTGTTGCAAACTGGAGGGTTCCCGAGCTGAGAGAGGCTGCCAGAGGTGTCCCACTGAGAGGGAGGTGCTGGGGAGCTGCCAGGGCCTCCCTCAGCACTGCTGGCTGTGGGCTCCCAAGGAGACTGGCTTTAGTTATCTGCTGAATTTCCATCCTGATGTCAGGAATGACTGGAGTTTCCAAAATATTTGAGAATTTAATCCAAACTGTTCCATTTGGACTACAATTAAGGCAGGGAATATTCCAAGGCTTTCATGGGATGACTGATTATCCTTTGTTCCCCAACTTTTCCACTCTGGATTGTTCCCAGCTGTATCATCCAGGAGCACCTGGTCCAGTCCAGGGACACTTCCCCACACCCTGGTCCAGTCCAGGGGCTCTTCATTGCTCAGCTGGTTTGGTCAAGGCTAGTCAGGAGCTCCTGAGATCATACTTATAAGAAGGATGGGGACAGACTTAGTTGTAATAAGACAAGTGATAATGGTTTTCAACTAAAAAAGAGCAGATTTGAATTAGATATGATGAAGAAATTTTTTACACTGAAGGGCAGGCTGTGACTGTAAGACCATATGTCACTCCTGCCCCTCTAACTCTGTGGGGAAGGGATTGTCTGGCTCAATGGGGAGTTCAAATTACCAGGGATTTTTAGCTGGGGCCACTGTGCTTTTGCAGGGCGATAAACAGCCTACATTGGCACTTACATGGTTAACTGACACTCCAGTGTGGGTACCTCAGTGGCCTCTGTCCAGAGGAAAGTTACAGGCCCTGCAGGATCTGGCCCAAGAGCAATTGGCTGCTAG